CCCCAAAACCCCAAAACCCCAAAACCCCTATTTTGTCCATACCTATTGAGAATTGGATGATTATTTCTAAAATTGAGTATCAATGTAGGCGATCTTAGCTTGAATGTTCTCCATCCATATCTTATTGGCTTCATTGATAGAGGTCTCTAAGATGTCATCATGAATAATACCATCATTGATCATATTTGCCTTCTGCTCCTTTCTTAATGTCTCTTCGTCCAAACAATTGATCATTTGCCTTGTATCCTTCATCATTCGTTTCATCTTAGCCATGTAGCCTTTTGGAAAGTTGTCTATAGAGTTTCTAGAATATAAGTACCAGATTGTTCTTGCTTCTCTCTTTTCCGCCTAAGTTGGGACAGGTAATCCACATTCTGCTCTACATGTTTGGAAGGCATAATCACAGTGAAACGGTCAGGAAGTTTCGCAGCCTTACACTCTTTCCGCTTAGTCTTCTTCCTAGGCTTCTTTGGTGTCTCTGAAATCTCGCATGAGGTGATCTTTTGACTATCTTTATTCTTAACGCTGTACGATTGAAGTTTATTCTCAGTCCTATTTGTCTTTTTCTCAGAGCCTATATGTAATGTCCCAAATCTTTTAGATGAGCAAACTTACGGTCTTTGGAGGTGCTGTGGCCTAATCTCTCCTGGATCTCCATTTTTTTCTTCTTTGAGATTTTAGGCTTTCAGGTATCAGCTATTAGTTTTGAAAACCTTTTCTTTTTGTCTATCAAATCGAGCTTTTTACGTTCCTCACTTTCTTCAAGGAGCTTGTGCAATTTGTCTCTTTCCAAAACTTTATTTATGAAGTTTTGTACTGTATTTTGAAACATCAATTGGTGTCTGCTTCTTCTTCCTTTCTTCACTAAGGTTCTTAGTCAGTCTCTTGCATAAACCATCCATTTTCTTGGTAAATTGTTTAATCTCTTTGAGCCTGACCGGTTTATGATCTTGCTTTATTTTCATAATGACTTCTTTTTCATGTGCAATATCTGGACTATGGCTGATTTTCTTGTAGGATTCTTTACCAAAAGGTATCAACGGCAAATTGGTTTCTTTCTCGATCTTCTTATAAAGCGGAGTGTAGTTTCACATCTCTTTTGTCCTGGTCTTGATCTCATCATTTCTTTTAGCGATTTCCTTTTCTCTGCTTTCCATACAGTTCTTAATACGCTGTCGCAAATTCTGAATATGTTCAATTCTCTTCAACCTCTCCAGTCGCTTGGCTTCTTCTTCAAGTTCCTTCCTTCGTTGTTCTTTTTTGAGTTGTTTAAGATGTCGGCTAATTTGACTTAATTTTGGGACGCCTCCTTGGAAGCGTTTTATTTGAAGTAGTGGTAACAGGAATTACAGTTGGAGTTTTGGAGGTAGATAAATTCAGATTAAGCTGGGGAGGTCGGGATTGGCTCCGATGGGCTCAGGAGTTGTTTCTGCGTTTTTATTTTTTGAAATTACCTTGAGTTGAAAGAAGTTTTAAAGTTTCAGATTTGGGCTTGAATTACACTTGATCTTTTAATTTGTAAATTTTGAGTTAAAGAAGTCTTAAACGTTGGCTAAAAGTATCTCATCAAATATTTAATACAACTGGTAGATCAATCTTGCTAAAATTTCTGCTGCCTGCCTTAATCTGGGTCGATATTTTTGTCCCTATTTTGCCTAGGGACCTCTCAATAGCCTATTTTTATTAACCTGGACTCACTTCCTTAACCCCTGGTTTGATCCCTTCAATCATGTCATATGGATCGGTTTCTGGTCCTTCTCTCATCAAGACTGAATTATTCAAGTCTTTAGATGGTGTTGTCGATCCAGCTTTGAACTCTCCCCCACTATGTTGGCCTACATTCGCATTTCTATGAGTATTATTCGATACCAAGTGCTTCTTTTTCTTGGAGTACCTTTGGTTCTCAGTCATTGCCAATTTCTTCTAAATTAAAATTCAATAAAACTTATGAAATTTGGGGTTTTGGGGTTTTGGGGTTTTGGGGTTTTGGGG